TTAGATTCTGTTGGATGCTGTGGGTAGAGTTAGCCACCTGGCAGGTCCATCCACCTTCTGATGGCAGGTGCCCTGATCTTGCTTTGGATACAAGGTCAGTGGGTCTGTCCATTAGTGGAAGAATAGTTGCTTCTCAGAGCACCCCACCACCTCCTGGTTCAAGTAGACACCTTCTCCTTGGAATCTGAGTCCTGAGTGGGATGTTACAAGGACAAAAATTTTACTGGAGCTTATTGCTGTCAACAGTGGTGGTCTGAAAAAAAAGAGCTTACTAATTCTCAGAGATTGTGAGATCATCAGGTTCTTACCCTTTCAGAGTCTGGTTCTTTAGCTTTTCCTTAAGTTCTCTGAGTATCCCATGGTATTCCAACGCATTCTTATGCCTTTTCTTATCCAATTAACTGGGGTCTCTCTCTCGGTTGCAATGGACGAGCCCTGAATGATCGTGATTCCTTTGGAGGATCCCATCATGATTAAATATCTAGAGATTGTCAAATGAAACCCAATGAAAACCTGCCTCTGTTGCTGCTACTTTGTGCAGTAGGTACAGAAACAAGGGAGGAAGAGAAAGATGTGTTAGCATCCTCTTTCAGTGGACCCAGCTGAGAGAGAAGCAGGAGTGAGAGAGGTTTGCATGGGGGCAGGAGGAGTGGGATGCCGGTGAAAGAAAGAGGAGGGGAAGCAGGATTGGGCAGGAGAACCTCAGCCTGCAATATAACCTGAAGGTCTCAGCCAGTTCAACATAGAGCTCCTGCACACAGGTTTCCCCTTTGGGAAGCCCTATATTGGATACAAATGGCCAGGCCCTAGTACTCTACTGTGCTCTGTCTTTAGCTGGGGGCTGCCCGGAAAGAATATGGCCTCTGCTCAAAAGCAGCTGAGGCATACTTGAAGGCTTTGCAGCAGGAGGCTGTCAGCTCACTGTGCTCCTTGTGGCTGAACAGCAAGTCCTTCCTGGTAGGGCGATCTGATCTGCTGCACTGCTCCATGGCTGCCTTCCACTGAGCACAGTTTTATCTTGACACCGTTTCATCTTGTTCTCAGGCCTCTCACTTATCCTGTGAAGTTGATGTTATTTCCACTCCCCCAGTTAATGAAATGCAGACTTAGCTAGTTATCCCCCAGGATTTTCCTGCTAGTGAGTGTGAGTGCTGGGATTGGGACCCAGCTATGTCTAACTCCAAGGCTCCTGCTTTGACGTCCTGTGGCAGAGGCCATTGCTTCAACTGCCATCATCCCCATAATAAGGACTTGGGCTCTGCAGCTTTGGGGGCTGCTCATTGCCCCCTAAGCAAAATGCTCTATTTGGGTGGTGTGTGTGTATATGCACTTGGGTCTATCTTGGGTTAAAAACAGAGCTTTCTTTTTAGCACTGAATAATATTCCATCGTCCGGATGTACCATGGCTTATTTATCTGTTCACCTACTGAAGGACATTTGGTTGCTTCCAAGTTTTAGCCATTAAGAATAAAACTACTATAATATAAACATCAATCTGCAGGTTTTTGTGTGGACATACATTTTCAACTCCCTTGGGTAAAATACCAACAAGTGTTATTGCTGGGTCATATGAAAAGAATATATTTAGTTTTGTAAGAAACTGCCAAAACATCTTCCAAAGTGACTGTCTCATTTTGCATTCCCACCAGCAGTGAATGAGAGTTCCTGTTGCTCCAATCCTCACCACCATTTGGTGTTGTCAGTGTTCTGGACTTGGATTATTCTAATAGGGGTGTAGTGGTACTTCATTGTTGTTTTAATGTGTGTTTCCCTCATGACATATGATGTGGGGCATCTTTCCCTATGCTTATTTGCCACCTGTATATATTCTTTGGTGAGGTATCTGTCAGGTCTTTGGCTCATTTTTAAACTGGGTTGTTTGTTGTTGAGTTTCGGGAGTTCTTCATATATTTCGCATAACAGTCCTTTATCAGATATGTCTTTTGCAGTATTTCCTCCCAGTCCGTGGCTTGTCATTTCATTCTCTTTGCGGTGTCTTTCACAGAGGAGAAAATTTTAATTTTAGTAAAGTCTAGCTTACCAATTATTTATTTATATTTTTTTGAGACAAAGTCTCGCTCTGTTACTCAGGCTGGAGGGCAGTAGCACAATTGCAGCTCACTGCAACCTCTGCCTCCTGGGTTCAAGCAAGTCTCCTGTGTCAGTTTCCCCAGTAGCTGGGACTACAGGCACACGCCACTATGCCCAGCTACTTTTTGTATTTTTAGTAGAGACAGGGTTTCACCATATTGGTCAGGCTGGTCTCAAAGTCCTGACCTCAGGTGATCCACCCACCTTGGCCTCCCAAAGTGCTAGGATTATAGGCGTGAGCCACCGCGCCTGGCCCAACTTACTTTTTTTTTTTTTGAGACAGAGTGTCGCTCTGTCGCCCAGGCTGGAGTGTAGTGGCACAATCTTGACTCACTGCGAGCTCCGCCTCCCAGGTTCACACCATTCTCCTGCCTCAGCCTCCAGAGTAGCTGGGACTACAGACGCCTGTCACCACACTCGGTTAATTTTTTCTATTTTTTAGTAGAGATGGGGTTTCACTGCGTTAGCCAGGATGGTCTTGATCTCCTGACCTTGTGATCCGCCCCCCTCGTCCTCCCAAAGTGCTAGGATTACAGGTGTGAGCCACCGCGCCCGGCCCCAGCTTACCAATTCTTTCTTTCAAGGATTATGACTCTGGTGTCGTATCTAAGAAGTCATTGCGAAACCTAAGGTCATTTAGAGCTCTCAACCCACAGAAAACGTGGAAGGGCCTTAAATGCATATTACTAAGTTAAAGAAGCCAATCTGAAAAGGCTACATACTGTATAATTCCAACGATGTGATATTCTGGAAAATGCAAAACGAAGTAAAAAGATGAGTGGTTGCCAGGGGTTAGGAGAAAGGGAGAGATGAATAGGTGGAGCACAGACAATATTTAGGGCAGTGAAACAATTCTGTATGATACTATAGTGGAAGACACATGTCATTATATGTTTGTCAAAATCTATAGAATATACAACATCAAAAGTAAAAAGATCAGTGGTTGCCAGGCATTAGGGGAAAGGGAGAGATGAATAGGTGGAGTGCAGAGAATAGTTAGGGCAGTGAAACTATTCTGTATGATACTATAGTGGAAGACACATGTCATTAAGTTTGTCAAAACCTATAGAATATACAACATCAAGAGTGAACCCTAATGTGAACTATGGACTTTTATGTGGTAATGATGTGCTAAGGTGGGCTCATCAGTTACAACCAATATACCACTCTGGTGGGGGACGCTGATAACGGGAGACTGTGCAGGTATGGGGGAGGGAGTTCATAGGAAATCTGTACCTTCCACTCAGTTTTGCTCTAAAAATATAGTCTATTAAAACAAAACAACAACTCCTTCCACAGCTTTTTCACATGCTTTAGTTTGGGTTCCCTCAAAGGCAGATGCTGTGGCAAGTAGTTTACCTGAGAGGACATTCCAGGAAGTGGTCCTGGAATGAGTTTGTGGGGGAGGGAGGTGTGAGAGGAGAGGAATATGAGCCAATAAAGGGCATCAATGAACCAGTCCACATGGGCAACTGGAGTTCCATCCTGCTGGAGACCATCTGAGGAGCTGAGCAGAATGTTGGGACAATTCTGACTTCCATTCCTCACTGGTGGAATACAGCCTCATGGGCGTTGGTTCCCAGGCACTTAGCACCTATGGCCTATATGTAGGCTAAGCGGCTCCCAGGGCACTAGCAAGAACTTCAGGTATATATAGCTGGGGAGGGGTGGCATGGATGCAGTCAGCATGCAGGGAAATGTCCATCGCAGTCCTGGGTGGGGCGTTCATAGCATCTGCCACATCATATTCAAGGATTATGAAAAGAATCTGACTCCCGTTTTAGGGTATCTGACACTTGTGGCTTGGGAGTCAGGAAAAGTAGCAGTGATTGCTACACCTGTTGGGGCACTGTATGAGTGTTCTACAGTTGCCCTAATACCACAGACTGGTTGGCTAAAACAATAGGAAGATATTTCTCACAGTTCTGGAGTCTAGAAATCCAAGATCAACGTAGCTTGGACTGTTTGGTTTCTCCCAAGACCTCTCTTTCTGGGTTGTAGAAGGCCACCTCCTCGCTGAGTCCTCACATGATCTTTCCTCTGGTAACTCACCTTTTTGGAGTCTCTTCCTCTTCTTAAGAGAATAGCAGTCTTATTGGGTTAGGGCCCCACCCTTATGACCTAATTTCACCTCGATGATCTCCTTAAAGGCCCCATCTCCAATCACATTGGGGGTTAGAGCTTCAATACATAAATGTCAGGGGGACACAATTCAGTCCCTGACAGACATGATGGCTGACAACAGGACCTGGTTCTGGGCCCTATTTCCTCTTTTTACTGATCCCAGAAACAGTTAAGTGAGCAGCTTAGGGTCACACAACTTGAGTTGAAATACGATGCTGAGTAATAAGCAAATCTGTCCACCCAGGGACTGCCAGACCAGGGACTGGGACTGCACACACCCACGGTCTACAAGGCATCATGCCCCTGAGTCTGACCTTGTCTGTCTCTCCTTGAGAACCCCGGAGGGGCCTGTCCTTCCATCTTGCCGCCTGGGTTCCAGGGTTGGCCACACTGTATGTCCTGCGCAAGTACTTCCCTTTATTCTCTCATCTGGGAAACAAGAGGGCCGGGCTAGGTTACCATTCCTGTTCCCCAGTACTTTTTTTTAAGTGTTGGTGAAAATTTTAGGAGGTGGAAATGGGCAATCTCATTTCTTGGGATTGTACATTGGAACAGTTCATCTAGAAAGGCAATTCTGTGGGAAGTTTCCAAAGCTGTGAAGATGTACACATCCGCAAATACTCCAAGACGTTCCTAGACAGGGAACACCTGGGTCAAAGATTAAGCTACAAGGAGAATCACTAGTTTTGGTTTCTCACATTTTACTTTTATAAACATGCCTAACACCAAGAGACCGAATAAACAAATTATGTGCCTTATTCAATGGAACACAAATACATAAAATGTAATTCTGCAGAGAACATTTAATGATTTGGAAAGATTTTTCACAATGCCAAGTGCAAAGGCTAATTTCAAAGCAACCCATATTGTGGTTCCACCCATGTTAAAAAAAAAAAAAAATACAAAGATCTAGAAAGCTAATAAACCAGGAATAACAGTTGTCACTTCTGAGTAATGGGCTTGTTGAAGATTTAAAATCTTTATTTTCTAAAGTAACAATGTATAGGCATTGCTTTTGTAATAAGAAAATCCACAAAAACACTGTTATGGTAAAAAATAATTTACCTAGTTTTGGCAGTTGCTGCAGGGCAGGGAACTCTACAGTGATGACTGACCTGTTCTTCCCTCGCTGCTGGTGTTTCCACTCTCTACAGCTGAATGCTCACCTTTCCAGCTTCCCTGACTGCTGGGGTGGCCAAGTGATAGGAGTTCTGTCTAGTGAGATGTAAGTGGAAGTCTGCTGGGTGGACATGGAAGTTTCTGGGAAAGCTAATGCCTCCTGATAAAAGGTGGAGATACTTCTGGCCCCTCTACCTTTCCTTTCTTCCTTCTGGAATGTGGAAGTGATGACTTGAACAGTAGTCCTCTTGTGATCACGAGGTGATAAGGGTGGTGCAGCAGAAGGGTAGTCTAAGCTTTTGATGACACCTTAAGTCAATGCATCAACCCTGGACTCCCTACCTCCAGGCTGCTTGTCATGGGTGAGAATTCTGACACAACAGTTCTGGCTAGCTCAGGTTTGAAGGCTTTTGGCTGCAAATAAGACTTAAGCTCTCTCCTCTAGGTCCTGGATCATTCCTATCATTCCACACTGCCTCCATGGATAGAAACAGTGCCTTATCAAGGCACTCTCTCCCTAAGCTGGCGCTGCCCTCTTTTTGGCATTCGTATCTGAATTTATTTGGTGGCTCCTAGAGGAGAGGAGCACTACCCGTCTTTTGTAGCACAGGAATGTGTTAAGCAGCCCTTGTGCCCAACAGAGCAGGACCTTGTATGAGACAGCCAGTCAGCCGTCTCTCAAAACACTATGTGCTGGGCATTGTGCCATGTGCTGGGGAAGGCAAAAAGCAAAATGGACTCATACCTTGTCCTTCTGAAGCTTATCGCTTGGTAGAAAACAAGAATACGGAAAAGTCAGTTAATCCTTTGCATCGTCATTAGTGTGCAGTGTTTTGAAGAACAGGGTGCCATGCAAGTGTGTCCTGGAGGGGCCTGGCCTGGGGCTCAGGGAAGGCAGCCTGGAAGCTCTTTTCTGTCTCTAGGCTCAGCAAGATGTATCCCAAATTCCCAGGCTTGTCTGTGACAGCCTCTGCATCACAATGCCAAATGGAAGGCATTTTTCCTTTTGTCAGAGCCCTTGCCTGCGGGCTTTATCGTCCATATATGCAAAATGAGGGAACTGGACTCCACAAACTTCCAGCTTCCCAGAGCTCAAATGCCACGTGAAAGCAGCTGGGAGAGGCCACCACAGGAATGGTGCAAACACAGGCTGGCAAGGCAAAGTGGGGGCTGTTTGCTTCCCAGCCTTGGCAGAGATGGGTCCCACATTTGTTCAGAGGAAGAGAGGCCTCTGCAGGGAACAGAGTATGCAGAAGCCTTAGGAGTAGGCCTGTGTGAGCAGCAGCAGGAAGGCCAGTGGGGTGGGGTGGAGTGGGGCACAGAGATGGATCCTGTGTGGCAGTGAGCAGTGGAGGTCAAAGCCCTAGGATCCAGCTTGTGTTTCAAAAGGATTTCAGGTCAGCCCTTGCCCATTCTGTTTGCTCTCAGAGTAAAAAAAAAATCAAGAGGTCAATGGTGGGGAGATCTGGTAATCCATGCAGCAAATTGCATTGATGGATGTGGTCTCAGACCTTGCATGTACTAGGGTAACCTGAGCAATGAAGCATTTATTTTTATTTTGTTTTAAAGTATTTTAAAATGTGTCTGACTTTTGTAATCATAAAAAAATTCAAATTGTAAAAAATGGCAAGTGGTTATCCCTAAGGATAAGATTATCAGGGACTTTCACATTCTATGCTGTATGTCAGCAATTTTAAAATTTTTGGTCCTTGAACAGTGTTATTTTCTATCATTCCATGCCTCTTAAACATTAATGGGTATTCCTCTAGGCAATGGACAAGAAGAAATAGGCAAAGACAGAAGAGTATTAACTCAGTTTCATGGTCACAAAGTCAATTACACACACACACCCACACACACCCACACCCTGCTTCTTCCAGTCCAGTCAGGCCTGAGGGAACAACCTTGGAGGTTCACCGCAGGAGGGCAATAGCTCTTTTTTCTTCCTTCACTTCCAGTTCTCTCTTCCCTCAGTCGCTAGTGCTTCAAGCTTGAAGGCAGGTAGAAAACGTTTGAAGGCAATCACACCTACGTTGCCTGTTGGCGGTGGTCGGGAGAACTGTCTAGGAAGGAGGGAGGAGGATGAAGTCCCTTTGGGCAGGGTTAGCAGCACACATCTTTGGAGTCTGACAACCTACTCACCAGCTGTGAGACTGTGAGCAAGTTTCTTGACCTTTCTGAGCCTGTACCTCACCTGAAAAATGGGAATGATACTGCTTCCATTCCCAGGGCTGCTCTGTGCCGCAATGAGACGACACAGACCAAGTGCCTGGCACAGAGTGCGTGCCAGTGGGTTAATGGGATCACTGTCTTTGTTCCAGAGCACAAAGATCTGGCTCTGGAAACAGAGGGCCAGGCTGTGTGGTCTAGGACAGGTTCCTTTGCTTCCACTTCTCCAACTGTGAGATGGAGCCTCAGTGGGACAAGGCAGGGGGCAGACATTTCTGCTGCAGGTGTCCCTCATAGCTCCTTTCACTTCAGTGGGCTCCACCTTGATGCCACTCATCTGAGACTGTGACTGATGGACTGCTGGCAGGCGCCTAGCCCTGGGCTCTGCGGCACCCAAACCTGCTGTGCCAGGAAGTGAGGATTCCTGGAGCTGAGGCTGCTCCCAAGTTTCATCTTCTGTTGGGCCTCAGCCTCAGGTCTCGTTTTTGGCTCCTGTGCCACCCCCTGGAACTAGGGAGCAATGCAAAGTCTCCGGAACTGAACCAGGATGTCAGGCAGCTGGAGAATGTTAGGGATGAGATTTTACTGCTTATTTTGCTCTATTTTTCTATCAAAATTCTGCTATGCCTTTTAAAATAGCGATTTCAAACTCATTGGTGTGTGAGGTTTCTTCTGAGTTTTAAGAAGACAAAGGGAATGGTGAAATGAATTTTTTTGCCCCTCCCCTTAAAAATCCATAAAAGTTAACATGAAGGGGAAATTTTTTGACTTCAGCTCTGTCCTTGAGACCCGTAAACTTTTCCTGAAATTTCAGCAGAGTGATGTGCAGTTTTCCCAGGGAGGGTACCCAAAGCTTTCCTGATAGTCTCACTGCAGTTGGTGTGATGGAGTACATAGGAACACTTGCCTTGTAGCAATGACACTCAAATTATTATATTTTCTTCATGACAGAAGCCACTTGCCTGAAGCCAGTACCTACCAAGAGACAGATGCTTGGGGTTGAAAAGGCTTTTGGCTATGGCTTTCACGAGGAATGCATAAAAGACCACCTATGAAGTCTAAGGTAAAAGGTGATAATTACCAGTAAAACAAGGAAATCTACCCCTGCCACTAGCAAAAAAAACCAGAAGGCCGCCTTGAGAAAAAAGTATGACAAATTTTGTCAAGTTGAAACGATATGACTGCCCAGTGTGTTTGGTCTTTATGGCACTATCATTTAAGGTCAGAGTTTCTCCAAGTTGACTGCCAATCAAATGGCTTTTCATTGCTCAGACAGAAACAGGTGCTCTAAGCTGGGCACAGCTGACTTTATGATCCCCACTTGTTCATTAGGGAGGTAGAAAATCAAAAGCACAGGGCAAGTGTGGGTCTGGGAGCATTGCTGAGCTCAGACCTCTGCTCCAGCAAGTAATGTCTCTCATCCCTGAGGTACAGGCTGGCTCCTAAATCTCTCTGGCTTTAGTTCCTCTCCTTAAATGGGGTTGTTGTGGGCTCAGATTAAATAAATGGAAAGCCTTTAAAAGGTAACTGTGCCATATACTGTGTTAAGAATTTAATAAATAAAAATCTAAGACTTTATATTGGTAGAAAATAACTTTTACCTTCCAACTTCCCTGTTATGAAGGAGAAGAGGATGTTCTGGGTATGTGTGTGCAGGTGAAAATGGGAGAGTCAGGTTATCACTGCCCAGCATCCCTAGGGATTTACTTTTACAATTCACAAAAGTTTTAAGAGAATCATTATTCAACATGCATTAGTAAACACCCTAAACTTGCCACATTTCTGCAAATGGTAGGCACAGACGCTCCACTATTGTGGCCTTCTAACGTTTGATACTCGAGGGGTTTTCTACCCCATCTTTTACTTTATTTTGGTAGTTCTCAAACTTGAGTGCACTGGCCTTACCCCAGAGCTGCTAACTCAGCAGGGGTGGGTGCAGCTGGAGGATGTGCATGTCTAATGAGTTCCCAGGAGATGCTGGTGCCGCTGCTGCTCCAGGGAGCACACTTTGAGAACCATTGCTCCATTTGCTATTAAATACATTTGGGGAACTCCTTTCCCAAACCCAGCTTTTCCCAGAAGAGCTGACTGGGGTCAGCAGATGGTAACCACCTTAAGACAAGGTGGTGGGTATAAAAGTGTGTGTCTAGCGAGCTCCCTACATCACCAGGGCTTTTGGTTGTCTACAACTGGCCTCCAGAGAGTGTCTTATAATTTGCAATGTGGCTAGCTGCAAAGGCGGGATCCCAAGGAAGTTATAATACAGAGATTCTAAAGTCAGAGCTTCAAATGATCACAAAATCAAGGTTTTAGGAAAGGGGGAATGGACACTGTTTTTTTCTGGCCAGGTGGCATTAAGTCAGCCTAAGTGGAAGGTCTGGAATGTTCAGGAGGGGAGAGGCTGTTCTCAATGAGGTGAATACACTTTGGAAAAGAAGCCACAATGTGAATGGAGGTCTGTGGCCCAGCGGTGGCGCTCTGGCTGGATCTAAGCATGCGCGGGAGGCAGCCCAAGGTTGTGCTCGCTTAGGCTAGTCTTGAGGAAACAGTTCTGGACAGGGGTGGGGTGAGGTGGGTGGGGAGCACAATTTGCCTTTGTGGTCTCGACCTCTGAAGGTCACTGTGCAAACTTCAAATGAATTCAGCAGCTCAATACCAAAATTAAGTAGAGCATCCTCTGGATCTTAAATGGTTGTCTCATTCTCTCTCTGGACTTGACCCCATTTTATATTTTATTAGGTTTTTAATCAGGTTCCATTATGAAGTGTTTTAAACAATGTTAGAATCTACAAATGCACAAAGGGAGAGAACACTGCCTGGTCTACCTGGTTTAAGAAACCAGACTGGAAGCCTCTGAGAATGGAGAAGGCTTTTTTGCTCAGTCCCTGGGAGCAGCCCTGGACTTCCGTCATCACCTTTGTCCCCTTCACGTTGGTTCCTCAGCAGTAGGAGGCAGTGGCTCAACACATGGACTCTGAGGCCAGAATGCTTGGGTTTAAACAGTAGTGACACCAATCACCAACAATATCGATGGTGTGGTCTTGGTACTTACCTGATAGGGTGGTTACATGACCTGCCTGCTTATGAGGAGGAAATGGAGGCACCAAGTACATGGCTAAATGTACATGGAGGGCTCAGGGCAGTGGCTGGCAGTTTCTACTCTGTAATTGCCTGCTACTATTAATAATGATGCCACTGAAAGGAAACAAAGACCCAGGGCTTCAACAAATAGCAAGAGGGTCTCACCTTGAAGGACACTGGGCTTGGGCTGTGCTCCTCCATTCATTGAACAGATTTATTCAGTGTCTACTCAGTGCCAGACACTGAACTAGGCTGGAGGGTACAGCAGTGAATGAAGCTGAATAACCCTGCCCTCAAGGAGCTTATGGCCAGTGGGAAAGACACAGATTCAGCAAAGATTCCCATTCATGAACGAGTAATGACAAAATGAGATGAATGCTCTGAAGGGATGGAATTCAGCTTGCTGAGTGCACAGAAGAGCTGTTACCTGACCTGGCCTTCTGGGTAATGGGAGTTAGCTCTGTCTAAAACCTGGAGGACGGTCAGGCATCAGTGATGGGAGTTTAGAGGCAGCTGGGAGCCTTCTAGATAGGGCTGAGCTGAATGAAGGTCCTGCGGCAGGGGCCAGAGGGATCTTATGGAAAGGGAGGAGGGGTGGGGAGGGGAGTGGATGTCATTCACAGGTCCCACTGAAGTTAGCGTGAGGATAACCCATTAAGCAGTTACAAGGCCAGGAATGGGAGGCATTTGCATGATTTAGGAGTGCATTTTGAAAAGATCATTCTGGTTATAATGTGTGGAAGAGATAAGGCTGAAATGGAAGCTGGAGAGGTTGTGGGGAGACCCAAAAGCGGGTGGAAGTGGTTTTGAAGCATCCCCTGGAGTGCCTGTAACAGAGTTCCTGCCCAGCTTGCTGTCCCCACTGGAGACTTTTTTTTTTTTTTGAGACAGGGGCTTGCTCTGTTACCCAAGCTGGAGTACAGTGGCACAATCTCTGCTCACTGCAGCCTCAAACTCCTGGGCTCAAAAGGTCCTCTCACCTCAGCTGCCTGAGTAGCTGATGGAACTACAGGTGTGTGCCACCACACCCCCGTCTAATTTTTAAAAACATTTTTTTGGTAGAGTTTAGTCTTGCTATGTTCTCCGAGTTGGCCACTGGAGATTCTGGTGGAGCAGGTGCATGGTGGCCCTTGGGATCCTACTTTTCCAACATGCTGAAGCTGCTGTCCATGGACCACACCGTGAGTGGCTCTGGCTTGGACTCCGTTGGTGGTAGGTGAGTTGGTAACTGGATGAAGGAGACGGCAAGAAGCCCATTCTGAAAACTGGGACTATTTTGCTTTGAAGATATTTGTCCCTAAACATAATTTAGTACAAATTTCAGAGATGCCATTAACAATATAGGGATGGGGTGAGGGATAGAACTTTAAAGAAGTAGACTCACCTTCCAGAATTCTAAGGTGATACAGATGCAGGTGGCTCTGGTTAACTCAGGCTCTATGTAACCTGGGTGCTATGCACGGTTTGCATGGTGCTTGTTTTTATCCCTCTCTCTGGTTTTCAGAGCAGCAAGATCCCTATACAAACAGACTATAGACTGGGCCTGAGTTAATCGGAGTGGCTCTGGATCTTTGTCCTATAAAAAGCTAGAGAGAGGAACATCCTCCTTTTTATTAGTGTTTTGGAAAGGATACTAGCCAACTCAGCCACTCTATCTTGAAAACTCTTGCTTGGGCTCTGAAAAATGGTGATGTCACATATAAGATTTAAGTTAGGCATGAAATACTACTCCAACTCTAGAGACCTCCATTAGTTTTCCAGCTCTGCTGGGTCCATGGCTGTAAGGACCTGGGGAAAGGAAGCCCATCTGTCAGCACAGGTAATGAATGGCAGGTATTACCTTTGATGGAGTATCTGGCAGATCAGTGCCCTAGGAACAATCCCGTGCTTGGTTCTTATCCAGCACTCAGGTCACTGGGATATGCGCTGATGGAGAGCTGTGGAACTCTCCCCAGCCAAGAAAGGTGTTTGCTCTCCAGGGACCCTGGGATCATCTAGGAAGTAGATGCATTACCTATATATGTGGCTACAAAGAGCCTTCCTCTCTCCAGGAGGCCACTGTCCTATTACTAGGTCTTCCCTTTCCTCTACTTTGCCCTATTCAAAGCTACCATCACCAAGTATCAAAACAACAGTCCCAGCTCCGCACCTAGGTGTTTTGGCACCTAGGAGGAAATGTTCAGCTGAGTGGCGCTTAACCCTCCTGATGGCCCATAACTTCATTTTCACAGTGGGAAGCCTGGTCACATCATTTTCTCTGTAGGAAGCTAATGTTACCAGGAGTGTCTTTTTCTTTAAAAGCAGAGCATTTGTGTTGGGGGATAAACAGCAGCCTCAGGAGGCCAGTGTCTGCAGGGGAGCTGCAGCAGCCAGCCCAGAACTGCCTGGGTTCTGGAGCTGACGGTCCTCTGCGGTGGGTGTGGCTGCCTCGCCAGAGGGCGCCCTTGCGGGTTCTGGAGCCGGAATGCTGCCTGTAGTGTGGTGCGGCCCTGGTGTTGTGAAGTAGCCGTTCTCTGATTGGCAACGGCCTGATTCACAACACCAGCTGCCCCACCACACCATGCTGGGGAGGTCTCTGGGGCAGGCCGATGGGCGCAGAGATGCCTCTGTGCTGCTGCTGCTGGAGGAGGAGGTGGAGAGAGGACAGAGAACAGCCAGAAGTGAGAACCGGGAAGCAAGCATAAGCCAACATTTCACTGCCCTCCCTAGCCCCACCTGAAAGACTTTTTTTGTTGTGCCTTTTGTGAACTTCCCCAACCCATAGGGGTCATGGGTGGGTATCCATGGCTCCAAGGAGTCCTGGGTCCTGAATACAAACTTACCTGTGCATTGGTATTTCTCTGGGAAAACAGCTCTCCACAGCTTTAGTATGTCCAATGATGGGCCTTCATAGAATTTGATGATCACTGCACCTCCCAGAACAAAGTTTTTTCCCCACTGATGCTTTTCTGGGAGAAATGCAAGGAATCCCATTATTGTGTTGCCAAACAGAAACCAGACATGGTTCTTACCGCATATTCTGAGTAGTTTCTTTCCCTTGGCTGTCCCTCACCTCTTGATTTGTATGCTGTCCAGGGTCCCCAAACCTCCAAGGCCACGCTTGGAGTAGCACCCATGTCTACGGAGGATGATCAGGGTCAAAATGGAACCCTTCAAGGATGCACAGCAATCTCCCTGACTCAGTCCTCTACAGAGTGGGGAACACATTCCAAATAAAAAATAAGGGTGACCACCGAGAATTTGAGGCAGTCATACAAACCAACCAAAGCTGAGACCGGCTGAAAAGAAATCAGGTAGCCAACATGGAAACACTTAACCATCATGGCGCCTCCTTTCCATCAGCCGGTGACCCACCGGGGTGCTTCCTCCCCCGGCTTCAGCTGGTCCAGGATCCTGGATGTCTGTACTAGGGAGACCCAGTAGTAAGATCACTTGGGAACTCTCCTTTTGGTAGCTGCCTGGATTTTATCACCATTTTGAAATTATATAGCATAAACTTGACGTGAAAATAGCATTTGAAGTTTAATCCCTATTTCCAGGTGTCAATAAACACTTTAAATGAACAGCTCTTTGGCCCAAAATGGCTCCCGCCTGCTGTGTGGTTCTTAGTTACCCAATCAAGAAAAATCACATTTCCCACTTTCTGCCATCTATCTTGGAACCCACTTTATTTTAAGGACATAAACTTGGCAAGTTCCTAGTACTGGATATGGCGTAGAAGTTCTGCCAAAGTTCTTGCCAGAGTCGGGGGAAGCAGAAACTTCGAGTAATTTATCAGTAATAGCTTATCACCAAGCCACATAAATCACTGTGGTCTTGGAGTTCAGAAATGTCTGGATTTTTCCTATCTGCAATCAAAGATTCTCGGCTGGGATGTTAGGCTATAATCTCTACCCTGGGGCCTCTGGCCCACAGAATCCCAGGCTGGGAATCTAGGTTGGGAACACTAGATAAATGTGCATATTTGATGAGCATTGGTGTTGACAAAGTTAACATGGCTGGCTTTCCAAGCATCAGGTAGAGACCTGCATTTTTTTCTTTCCCATGGGGCTGAAATTTCTGCAGACTGTCTTGAGGGCTAACAACCACTCACTTTGAGAATGAGCAAGTTCCAGAAAGTGGGATTAACTCCTTATAAAATAAAGCAAGCAGACTGTGAGTTGCTGACCAAGAGGGTACATGGGAAGGTCACGCTGGTACCAGGTAAAACCTGTAGAAACTCCAAGAAATTAGATGTAGAAACTCCAAGAAATTAGATTCTGTTTTGAGAATGAGCAAGTTCCAGAAAGTGTGATTAACTCCTTATAAAATAAAGCAAGTAGACTGTGAGTTGCTGACCAAGAGGGTACATGGGAAGGTCACGCTGGTACCAGGTAAAACCTGTAGAAACTCCAAGAAATTAGATAACACAAACCCACATCCTGGCGCTATCCCATCTCTGTCTGAGGGGCAAAAGGTGACTCAGGAATAGGTGGGAAGCTGAGGCCATGAACAGACTCATCTGTAGCCAACTCCACTTTGTGGTTCTGTCGAGAATCCACCAGTGCCTAAGGGGAAACAGAGAGATCAAGAAATCATCAACAAATGGCCATCATGTTTTAACTTCAAATGCTTGTAAGGACTTGGCACCTTAAAGGGCAGGGCCAGGCCTGGCACAGGCCCTACCCCCTCCTCCCCTAACCCTCCCTGTTCTCCTCCTTACTCTCTGCGCTTTCTTAACTTCTCAAATGAACCATCCTCCCTCCCACCCCAGGGCCCTCACACGAGCTACTTCCTTCGAATACCTCTTTCCCAGTTTTGCATGTTGAATACCAACTCCTTCAAGCTTCAACTCCAGTCACTTCCTGGACCTCCAACCCCAGACCAGACCTGACTCCTCTGTAACATGCTCTACAGGTATCTGGTCCTCTTCCTTTAAAGCACTTCTCATGGCGTGCGAGTGAAGTCTCCTCCAACTTCACCACTGGGTCCCCAGCATTGGCCATGTGGGAGACACTTGATGAATACTGGTTGGATGAATGAATGATTGCAACCAAGACTCAAGGGCCCAGTTATTCTTTTCTAAGTGCTCAGATGAATCCCTTAGGAGAATAAATACAGCACCAAGTATTTTAGAAACATACACGGTGCTATTCTGTAATGAATAATTTTACTTCAACAGACCTCTTAACTCATCTTCCTGACTCTAGGCAAACACCACACTGATCTGACTCACCCTCTCCTAAACTCCCCATTGCCCCAGGATAGAGTGAGTCCCAGATTCTGCAGCCTCTTTTCCAGCATGCCCTCCCTGATGGCACGGTGGTGCCCCTAGCATACCACATGTGCATGCTTCTGTGGATCTGAACCTGACTGGAAGGCCCACACCCCTTTCTATCCAGAAAACTCCTTTCTGCAGTCCTGGTTCTGGACCCAGCCATCAAGGGAGCCTTCCTTGTCCCTTGCTCAGCTTGCGCTCTTGGCCTGGCCTCTGACTCTTGTACCTTTCATGTCCTTCCATTACTATTTACATCTTCAGTCTGTCTTAGTTGATGGTGACCCTGAGGATGGAAGCCATCATGGAGTCACCTGGCAGGTCAGCACCTACACAGCACCTGGAACACAGGGGCCTTCAGCCTGGATGTGCTTCCATTCCATGAGGGGGTCCTGCAAAGCAGGGGGTGTAAGGGCACCATGATGGTAAAAATCTGTTCTTTGTGTCCCCTATGAATCATCAGAATATCCAGAAAGTTCCAATATTTTTCCATATTAAGTGGATTTCTTCATCTCCATGGCCACCCAAACTCCCAGTCCAGACCCCCACCACTTCTTGTCTGGTCTAGGTAGTAAGGGGCTAACACAACCTTCCTACAGCAGCCCGAGTGACCCTCTTAAAATATGAATCAGAAGATGTCTCTCTCCTGCTTCAAACCTTCATTTGCTCCCCATCACACATGGTATAAAATAATTTCCTGCAAAAGCCCACAAGCCCCTGTGGGTCCAGCCCTTCCTGCCCGTCCACCATCATTCCCTCCTCCTGGGCTCTGGCTGCGCTGTCTCTCAGATCTTGAAACATAGAGCAAGACCATATGGTGTCTTCTGCAGTGTAAAAAGATCAGGCCTTTCTTGTGGATGGAGCCTCTTTTGAGCTAAAGAAGATGTCACTTGACAGGGTGTGTGACATGCCACATCCCGAGTGGCATGTGGACTAAAGCTCAGCTGGAACACACCCTGCACCCTCCCACCTCAGGGCTTTTTACCTGCTATTGCCTCCTTAAGCACCTCAGCTACTCCAAGGGCACTTTAAGAGAATGCAAGATATCTAATATTCCAATAATCCTGTGCCAATTTTAACCAAAGCCTTTATCTCTTATTACTTTCCAATTTGGCCTGCTTACATTAGTCCTCCTTCACCACTAGCTTGGGAGGGTCAGGTCAGCTAATTTTTTTTTTTTTTTTTTTTTTTAAACATCACATAATGATTGCTTGGTGCAGGCAATACCAAGGACATGACATTTATCTAAGCTTTGTAACATCAGAGGTCTCAAATCAACAAAACATTTTTCGCCTGTTCTGGAAAAAGATAACTGCAATAGAAATGCAGGATGTGTTTCCTCATCAACCACCTCCTAGGGTCATCATGGATCAGCATGAATTCCATTCAGAGTTTGCCATCAGCCACTGACTCTGGCCAGCTCAGGAAGTCTGCACGGTGGGGAGTGGGTGATTCAGCGTTGGACCCCCAACTCCAAGATCCTGGTTCAGCCAGCTTGGGAGTGAAGTCCAGGAATTCACCCCCCAACCCCAAGGATTCTGATAAACCAGACTTGGGAACTGCTGCTCTAAATCTAGGGCTCTGTTAAAAACTGACGTTCCTGATGGACCTCAGTTCAGTGGGAGTCTGATGTGGCTTTGACTTCTGAAGAAAATTAAATTTTGCCCATGTGGCCAGCACTGTTTGTGCCTAGCACCTCCGTTCCTATATATATAGGGTGCGACTCTTGGCTTAGGGGCTTCCTTGGGTCAGGAATGGGAGCAGGAGTGTGTTCAGGCTGCATGTGGCCGGCTGGGGGCCAAGGAGTTAACATTTCCAAGGAGCATCAACCAATGACGGACAGGAGTTGGTGGATAAACACCCGGCTCTCTGGCGCCCTGGGTGGGATAACCCTGTGATGTGTTCTACACCAGCTCACAGAGGTCCGCATGTGCCAGCAGCAGTAACCTGATGGATAACCTTTAGTGGCTCCCTTCCTCAGTCTCTTACAACGCTTCCTGGACCACCTCCCAACACTCAGCAGTGCAGTTAGTGTCAGTGTGAAGCGTATTCAAGTCCACTCATGGTTTTTTTTTTTTTTTTTTGAGACGGAGTCTCGCTCTGTCGCCCAGGTTGGAGTGCAGTGGCCGGATCTCAGCTCACTGCAAGCTCCGCCTCCCGGGTTTACGCCATTCTCCTGCCTCAGCCTCCCGAGTAGCTGGGACTACAGGCGCCCGCCACCTCGCCCGGCTAGTTTTTTTGTATTTTTTAGTAGAGACGGGGTTTCACCGTGTTGGCCAGGATGGTCTCGATCTCCTGACCTTGTGATCTGCCCGTCTCGGCCTCCCAAAGTGCTGGGATTACAGGCTTGAGCCACCGCGCCCGGCCTCCACTCATGGTTTTGAATGGGTGGATGTTATGCTGTTGCCAGGATGGGGCCAGGGCGAGAGGAGAGAGGCACCCTCCGTGCTGATCCTGCTCTCGTCTGAGCTAGACCATGGGTGCTTCTGAGGTTCTGCATCCTGGGCATCTTGCCTGCTCACTCCAGACCCACCCTGACTTTCAGGAAATCAGCATATAAAACTCAGACAAGACAACCTATCCCAAGTAGATGTTTTCCAGAGTGTGCTCTATCTATATTTCCTCACTGCTTTTTCATAGACAATCACCCTCTAAATGGAGGACCTTTTGGCTTCCAAATTCTGAGGTATTAGAATCATTCTACATGGTCAGTAAAGCACACATGTTGTAGGAATTTAAGACAGCACGTCTACTTTAAGATGACGGCAAAAAAACCAAAGGCAACCTGTAAAGCATAGCCTATCTTGGCAGAAGCCTTCTAGGTGAAAAATAAAACCCCTAGTTCAAAGAGGCTGCCTGGCCTGCCGAGCTCAGCCTGGAGTTTATTAGCACAGTTAATATCGCATGCAAATAGATTTCCCTGCTTCGGTCATGCCAGTCGATTAATTCAGCCCCTTGTCTGCTACATCTTTATCCTTGGCAGGTTAATCCTGCCAAATGCCTTTGCTGTAGCACCTGTCACGCTGTGCCTATGTCCAACAATGCAGTTCTGCTAATCCTGTTGTATCAGCTTTGTGGCCCTGTCTGGTCAATCCAATGGTGGAAAAAGCGCATATAAGGTTTTTGCCAAGATCTTTCTCCTACTCTGGCACCTACCCCTCCTTTTAAAAAAAAAAATGATTTCAATTATATGGTTTGAAAGTCAACCACAGTGCTGGACGCCAGCCAGTGGCCATGTCTTTCGGACAAGGATGTCACGGCGCCGCTCAGCATGCCTCCGAAGTGTTTCTGGCAGCCCCACCCAGCGTCAGCTAAATATGCTAAGTGAAAAGGGTTAAAACAGGAAGATCAGCTACGGCAAAAACCAAAGCAGGCAACCTTCTCCCAAAGTAAATATCTTGCAGAAGCCTTCTAGTGAAAAATAAAACCCTCGAGAAGTTCAAAGAGGCTACCTGGCCTGCCGAGTCGCTCAGCCTGGAGTTTATTAGCACAGCACATCGCATGCAACAGATTTCCTGCTTCGGTCATACAAATAGACACCAGCCCCTTGTCTGTTACACTCTTATCCTTGGCAGGTTAATCCTGCCAAATGCCTTGCTGTAGCACTGTCACGCTGTGCCTATGTCCAATGCAGTTCTGCTAATCCTGTTGTATCAGCTTTGTGGCCCTTCAAGTCTAAATTAATCCAATGGTGGAAAAGGCTTATATAAAGGTTTTTGCCAAGATCTTTCTCCTACTCTGGCACCTACCCCTCCTTTTAAAAAAAAAATGATTTCACTTATATGGTTTGAAAGTCAACCACAGTGCTGGACGCCCAGCCAGCGGCCATGTCTCTTCTCGACAAGGATGTCACGGCGCCACTTAGCAGCTCTCCCACAGGCGTTTCTGGCAGCCCCACCCAGCGCTGCCAACATGCTAAGTGAAAAGGGTTAAAACAGGGAAGATCAAAGCTCAGCTAAATATGCTAAGTGAAAAGGGTTAAAACAGGAAGATCAGCTAAACATCTCTTTTCCATGGCTGGAAAATCCTGTCCTGTCCTGACACCAAATAGGTTTCACGTTCCACCCTCCCAGTTACCATAAAGGACGAGAAGGGCTTGAGGATGGAAAGCATGCCTGTCACTTGTTGTCTTTGGTGCTGTCCTCTTTAAGGCTTAGTGGAATCATTAACATGAATTATTAGATGAGGCACTTCCCTTCCTGCAGTTGCCTTTGTCAGGTATTCACCTGACACAGGGAGGAGCTGAATCTCCAGGCCCCACAGTGTATGACTCTTCTAGTTCGTGTCCCCGTG